GGGGTGAGGTGAGCAAGTCAAGGAAATGTTTTGATTCATTCAAATGTCAGCTGAAGTCGTTTCTGTTTTTAGATTAATAAGATGAATATTTGGAATAATTTTCTTCAGTCAGAACACAGCGTTTTGTGTTACTGTGTACATTGTACTGTATTTTAAAGCGTTCAGAGCCCGTGTACTTTATTCGGAGTTGAGCGCTATATAGATGTCATTTATTATTATTAAGGATATGTTATAAGAGAAAACTCTTGCAAGTAAGAGAAACTATCGGCATTGAGTCCTGCCTGCATTACACAGAAAGATAGAGAATAAAATGGTTTGGCCACCTGTTACGTATGTCACACGGCCAGCCAGCCTCGAGAGTCTACAACACCAAGCACTCCGGCTATAAAGGCAGAGGAAGACCACGAAAAAGGTGGATAGAGGGTGTCAAGGAAACCCTGAGAAAACATAATATAACAACTGAAAGAGCTGCCGAGCTGGCCTACCATAGAAAACTGCATCTCCCCTCGACATTTAACGGCAACAGAGGATGAAAAGTAAGTAAGTAGTCTTACAAGTCGCAATCCGATTCCTTGTTTTGTCACAGTGGTTTAATCATAATGATTATTATTATGTGAACGTTAGCATTTTCAGTATTAAGAAAAAGAGTTTTCAAGCTGCAAGCAAATAACATTGTACGCACAAATAATTTCAAAGACAAGAATTAAAATTTCCCTACCTCAGATTTACAGAGTTCTATCTGAAATTTTTGGCCGTTTTGAGTTGCTAAGACCATGAGGTCAGAAAACAAAAGCTCTATCTGCTCTCTCAAAATCGTAAGATAATTCTGAGTCGTTATCAAGATATTCATTCATCTTTGCTTGACATGCGGTGAAACTCAAAATCTTTGACGTCAGAAAGCTCAACTAGGTCCTGAGCAGATAGAACCTTGTAATTCTGAGGTAGCGACCGACATGTTGGCAACAGCTGGCCGTGGACATGTACATCGTACGTCATGCAGCAGATACCTGAAGGTGTGGTTCCTGATGGTCACCGTCCCCTCTGTGGTGTTGGTGATGATGGACGCGCTGTCAAACTCTTTGTAGGTTTCTCCCCCCATCTTGTTTAGTGTCGTCACGTGGTCTTACTGTCACCTGCAAAGACAAAAGGATCATCGTCAGATTCCGAGAAATAATGACATCACTATTGGAGAATATATTGCATCAGTATCGGAGAAGTTATTGCATCAGTATCGGAGAAGTGATTACATCAGTATTTGAGAAGCTATTACATCAGTATCGGAGAAGTGAATACACAAAGATCGTGTATAACAAGATAGTTCACCCCTCTCTTTGAACCAATAAAAAAAGTATCCTCAAATATGGTGGCGCCTTCTTTGAAAAAGGGCGGACTTTGCGAACAAAGTTACCCTACCTGTGTGAAAAACAATAAAAGTGAATCTAACAAACTGTGCTTTTCCTATTCTGATTCTGGAGAGCGAAAGAGAGCTTCAAAACAAAGACTGCAAGGCTAGGCCGTCTCAGTTTTGAGAAGGCCTAGCTGTAGGGCCATCTGAACCAATGCGCGGACTTCCAGGGACACTTTTTTGGCCGAGTGAACTATCTCATTATGTACGATCTTTGCTGTACGATCAAAATTGTCCTAGACAGCAGCTGCTATATCTGTTGTCGAGAAGGAGAGTGGTTGTGCTAGACCGCTGGACGTCTTAGGCAGACTTAATTTACTTTACTTTTCCGATCCAACGGCCTTTTGGGTTCTAGCCCTTCGGTCTGTCGATATGGCAAAGAATTGACAGGTTTTAATCAGCTGTGCTTTGTCGCTGTATAGATAATTTCCGATGTCTGAGGATGCAGGAAGGTAGGTACTACGCAGGTCGCTAAGTGCAGGGCAGGTAAAGAGGTGGTGTGATACTGTTTCACCCTGGCAGTCACACAACGGGCAGCCAGGTGGGGTATCCTTGCGGATTCTATTAAGGTAGGAATTTAGTGGGATGTGTTGTGTTCGCAGGCGAAAGATCGTGACTTGTTCTCTTCTACTCTGGGAATTTAGTTCATATTTTGAGTTGGGGGCTGTCATGTGTGCAAACAGGCAGAGCCTTCATGATTTAGAAACAATACTGCAAATAGATCAATGTGAAATGGTCGTGTGTACAGGTTATCTTCTTGGACAGGTGGCCGGTAGAGCAGGTTCGAGTGTCTATCTAAAATAGCGGTACGTTTTTCTCCTTTAAAAGGGGAGTTATAAAAAAGAATATAAAAACCGAAAAAAAATAGAAGAAAATCTGTCTTCTAAACTTAAGGAACCAACTGCTAAAAAGCATAATTGACGCCAATACGCTCGGGAAGTCAGCTTTATGCATAGACCTGAACTGAACTAGATTCTATACCATTAAGGACTTGGCACTCCTTTTGTAAGAGAATTCCTGTTCACTATGGAGCGCACCATTTGATTATACCAAAGATCGTGCATAACAAGATAGTTCACTCCTCTCTTTGAGCCAATTAAAAAAGTGTAGTCAAAATCCGGTGGTGCCCTCTTCGAAAAAGCGCAGACTTTGTGAAGAGTAACGAAGTTGCGGTACCCTACTTGTGTGAAAAACAATAAAAAGCGAAACTAACCAGCTGCGCTATTCCTATTCTTCTTCTGGAGAAACGAAAGAAAACTTCAAAACAAAAATTGCAACGCCATCTGAACCAATGCGTGGACTTCCGCGGACACTTTTTTGGGCCGAGTGAACCAACTTATTATGAACGATCTTTGACTAAACCTACTATTTTGGAACCAATTAATAAAGGGTAACAAGAGACGGTAGGCGTGCATAGTGGCACTTGAGTTTTGCGCTTCATTTGCGCGCCCATGGTGCGCACCGCTGTAAGGAAGTTTTTGTGTATATATATATACATATATGCAGAGAGAAAAGAGTTGAAGCTTGAGAGGTGAGCAGAATAAGTCTGATTCCCTGTAAAGACTTCTCTGTTGACACCCACCCCTTGGTGCTCATATGACCTTATTAAATATGCAGTTGCGAGCGCCGTAAAACCCTCTACTATAAAACAAAAGAGAGCAAAGAGCAGCGGCCACGAAGTTGCCCGGTCTAGGATATTGTAATTGAAGTCTATGGACGGCCATGACAGTGTCCAATCTAGAATATTGTAATTGAAGTCTATGGGCGGCCGTGACAGTGTCCAATCTAGGATATTGTAATTGAAGTCTACGGGCGGCCATGACAGTGTCCCATCTAGAATGTAATTGAAGTCTATGGACGGCCATGACAGTCGCTAATCTAAGATGTTATTACTCAAACCTATGGCTGTGTGTCAGTGACCCACTTTGTGAACCTAAGAAATAAATTCGTCTGCTTGAGCCCTTTCTGTTCTTTTCCTAACTGACCCCGTGCTCCCAGAGGAAGACACAAGTTAGAAGTTATAACATTTTAATATATCCTTGACCTAAAAATAATTAATATGAATCTTTTTTCTTTAAAGTAAAGGAGAGAAAACTAGCAATAAAGTCTGAGATTCTATTTTGAGCGGCTTTTCATCTGGGCCAAGTAAAAACGCCAGCTTCTATTCATTTCCCGAAGCAAAGACGTAAGCTATTGATGGGCCCTATGTTAGAACGCTTTCAAGCAGGTTCCCATATTATAATGAACGCTCTCTTTGAAATCAGTGCTACAGGTAGATCTAGGAACGTAAGAGCCGACGGGTTGTAGAAGCTTCACAACACGTTTTATGGTGATCTTAAGCCCCGCAGAAACCTTGAACTTTGAACTTTGGGCCTGCAACATGACGCTGATGGACGGAATGACCTTCACAATTCAAACGTCTTTTTGTACAGTGTTTGGCCCAGTGTTTAGCCTTTGTGAACGTTATAAAATGGATTTTGTTTTGTTTTTTTGTTTTTTTGTTGTTTTTTG